TTTTTTTTTTTTTTTTTTTTTTTTTGGGTTTTTTTTTTTTGGGGGGGGGGGGCACCCGGTACAAAATGTGTGTACTGTACAATATCTCTTATAATGAATACAATATCTTTTAGTCTAAGTTAATGAATTCGGAACCGCACTCAAATTCGTCCGGTTCCACATGTTCACACGGAACCGGTTTAATTACGAGACGAAAAGTGTTCACACGGAATCGGATCGATTGTAGTCCCGGAAGTATTTACGTACGCGTGCGCAGATGGTCTCAATCCCAAACCTCTACCGTGCAAAATGGTTTTAAAAAGACCGCCATTCCGGTACAAAACGAAACCTAATTTTATTTGGTCTCGAGTTCGTATGGTTAGCTGTGCTGGAATTCGTCCGGCTTCAAGCGTCCCATGTGAACGCAAGGCGAATGGTTCCGAATTCATCTTGCCCCGGGGCCCTAATACAACCTCTCAACAAAGTTTTTGTTTACAATGTTGTTTCTCTATATTCTGTGCAAGCTGACTCGATGTCTATAGCTGAGCTAGCTTGCGTAGTAACATCCTTACATCCTGAACTGTCATGCTCTAATATGTGACCTGGATTGTTTCTCGGTCTTCTTCGCTTCTTCCGAGGTCTCGACCGTGTTGATTTACCAGACTCTGTGTAATGTCGAAACACACTACGGTTGCCGTGAGGACAGCCTGTAGACGGAGTTGGGTTATCAACTTCTGATGCTTCGGTAATCTCAGCGCTAACCCTACCATGATCCTCTGTAGTACGTGTCACATTATTACCACTGCTACATTCTCTGGTCACATGATATGCTGTGTAACAAGGAGTACTATTGGATCGCTGTTTGGCAACTGGTAAAGTTGTGTTCCTATCATTCCCATGGGCTTCATTCTCCGACATTGACCGCGCCCATGGATTCACGTTTGGTGCAATATGGGCATGGTAAATTTCATCATGAGCACTATGAACATTACTGGAGCGTGTAGCTCGGATCTGTGGTGTCCACGAGTGTCGTCGTGCACCAGCTTGCTCATCAGCACTAGCGAGATGGGTGTCACCATGGTAACCATCTGAATTGATGGTACATGTTTCCCTGCTGATAAATACATTGTCATGCGGTGTTTCTGAATCCGACTCTGTTGAGCTGGATGGTAACATTTCACGGACATGTGATACAGCTCCTTGTGACTGCCTCAATGTTTCATCTTCAATATCCTCGGCCAAAGCTCTTCTGAAAACAACTTGTCCATGAGTGTCGTCATGATGGAACAGTCCTTCACTCGTCCCCGAGCTAGAGCCTAGGACCCTCCCCGTCTGATCAATATAATCAAAACTATCCTCTGATACGGTCCTTGCTGTTCCTTGTCTGAAGAATCGAAATACAGAGGGTCCTAGTCTATCCCACGAAATCCTATGATGATCTAAGGCATACTCCATGCCTATGGAACCTTGGGATGTGCGCCGTCCAGCAATCGATGGCTCTCGTGATGTGTAGGGAGGAGGGAAGTCGACTGAATCAAACAGCGTGGGTGGTTGTCTTCTACACTGATGGCCTGCTCCTCTGGGAGTGCTGGGTACAGGGTAATAAACAGGTGGTGCCCATGGTGGTAGGTTGCTGATGGGGTCTGTGGGGTATGGTGACCAGTTGTAGCGATGGTCATAGTCTCGTTGCAGGGGAGGGTGCGACCAACGGAAAGCACAATTCTGCATGGTGATTTAATATGGGGAAAAATTGAAAATAATAATATTAAACAAAAGGAATGCAACAACATAAAACGCTCACTGAGTTTCCAGCGATATACATACCCTTTTCTAGATATATACCTAATAATAATAAACGAACGAACGAATGTATTCCTTCCACTCGTGAGCTCATTTACCATTGTCACATATGGTAAATGTCCAGGCCTTGTGACCATGGATGGGCACTTAAAAGGAAAGAATACACACACACAAAGATTTATTCAACCATTAAGAGAGAACGATTGAACAACTGCGCATGAACGAACGTTCAAAGTGAATGCCTCTTGTTAGCCACCTACAAAATTATTATTAGCATAATGTCTCATGTCGTGTGAGACATATTGTTATGCTAATAATAATTTTGTAGGTGGCTAACAAGAGGCATTCACTTTGAACGTTCGTTCATGCGCAGTTGTTCAATCGTTCTCTCTTAATGGTTGAATAAATCTTTGTGTGTGTGTATTCTTTCCTTTTAAGTGCCCATCCATGGTCACAAGGCCTGGACATTTACCATATGTGACAATGGTAAATGAGCTCACGAGTGGAAGGAATACATTCGTTCGTTCGTTTATTATTATTAGGTATATATCTAGAAAAGGGTATGTATATCGCTGGAAACTCAGTGAGCGTTTTATGTTGTTATTTTATTTCCTGAGTACGGGTCTTCGACCAATTTCATATTGTTAAAATGAATGCAGCATGAAACATTTCTATAGTTTCAGTCTTTTAAGATGCTGGAACAACAGTAGGTGAATGTGATACAATAAATTATTCCAGCTATGACTAAATTTTGTATTAGTTTGCGTTACGTGTTGGAAAATGCACCACATTTGGGCCCAAAGTGGTGCATTTTCCCTGTGCGTAATACAAAATTTGCAAATTTTGCAGGGCTATATTTTCCACATTTCGCAGCCAAACTTTGCAATTTTACTAATTTTAACATGCTCTTTCTAGCTGTGGCGATGGATTTTGTTCTTCTTGCCTAGATCAAAATTTAGTCTACGGCTGGGATTATCTATTGTCAAGTACAAAAATTTAGTTTAGCTTATCTTTCCCACTGAAGTAACACTATATCGATCAGAGATGCCCTAACTGGACCTCTAAGAACAGTTTAGGATTAATAGAGTAATACCATAGTTGCCTCGAAATCCTTTGTCTCGCGAGGTACGATTAATCACTAATTTACCTCATTACCCATGCATACGCTTTTGTCTTCTAAATTTCCCTCATCAAGCATGCAAGGGAAAATTAGAAGACAAATCCTTTCCCCAGGAAATTTAGTTGAAAACAAAGGATTTGTTTGTCTTCTAATTTTCCCCTGCATGCTTGATGAGGGAAATTTAGAAGACAAAAGCGTACCTCATTACCTCTGATTGGAGAGCTGTACCTCATCGAAAATCATCGGCACAACTATGGACAGTATCTGACGACACCGTCCCGTACACATTCAAACAATCACTTTGCCAGCTTTTATTCCCTAATCTTGAACATTACAATTGTGGGAGAAAATTCCGTTTATGCGCATGCCTAAAACGAATGAACACGGAGATGTGTTTCTGCGCGTGCGTATATATGAAAAGTGTTCGTACCACAATCATAAGACAATCAGACAGCATTCAAAACAGGCAACACACCACACGCGATTCCCTCGGCAACTATGATATTACAAAGTAATATCATGGCATTACGGTCGATTAGTGATGAAATGTCCCTCAAGCCTCGAGAGGTTTAGTAAAAGTTTACTAAACCTCTCGAGGCTTTCGGGTACATTTAACCATGCTATTACTTATAATTGTCCAGTATATTAAATTATAGTCTGTTCTTTCATAGAATAAAATAAATAGTTTTGCTTCACATAAAATAATGTTAGGTTTTCATACCTGACTGTATCGGCTATACTGAGCGCCTAATGTACAACCCACAAGGGTAACTGTCAGGGACATTATACAACATAAAATATTCGCAACGCAAAGGCTGTACATGATATCTTTCAGAAAGCCATTGACAATACTACAGTCTCGAACACTCTGAAACTTGTACGGTGGCGTGCATGTTGCATTTGTAACACAACATTGACACGCATGCTCAAATTTTACTTCCGTACAGTAGACCAGGGTCTTTAGGAAGCCTGCCGAGTCACCAGTCAAGACGGTTGCTACCAGACTTACAACAACACAGGCCGTGGAAAGAAATGTGTATATACCAATCTAGACAAGATAGTAAACATATCAATACTTCTTTTTAAAGACAGAAGACAGGCAAGCAAGGCTGTATTTTGCAGTAGATGGCTGGGGAAGCGAAACTTGACCTTTCCGTATGACTTTTCAGGGGAGGTGCAAAATTAGGCGTAAAAAAATACCTGTGGTTGCGGTTTCATATCGCGAAAAAATTAGGGTCGGTAGTTGGAAATAATTTTTTTTTTTAATATTTTTTTCATGATTTTTTCAATAATTAGTGTGACAACAGACGCCATTTTGGCAGCAGCCCGCAACCACCCGGAGAAAATAGGGTCACACGGTCAATCGCATTGAAAAAATAATAGGGTCAGCAGAAAAAATAGGGTCCGTCAGAAACCGGAACCACAGGTATTTTTTTACGCCTTGTCTCAGGCAAAGTCCCCCACTCCTCCCCCCCCCCTCAAAATCCGGGCATGCAGGTAAGCAAAGGGTGTGGCTTTTTCTGGGCGGGAGTGCGTCATTGCTTTAGTGATGTACATACTATGTGACTTACCGAAACTATTGACAATTGTTTCCAGGTTAGGAAGCCAACAGACCCAGTAAAAAGTGCCTAAACGTTGAGGCAAAAACACAGTTAGAGGGGACTATATTAGGTTTATTTGGTAAGCTGCAAAGGTTTGTGTTTGAAGTATCTGGAAAAAAATATTAAAGCCAATTCAATGAAAAGATATTAAAGCCATTTCAATGAAAAGATATTAAAGCCATTTCAATTCCTTCATTGAGGGAGTTGGGGAGACACTGTGTGGTTGGGGGAGGGGGGTATAGAATATATGGCCAATTCAAAGCTTCAATGTTGTTTTAATGGTAAAAAGCACATGTACTACCTAATTAGACAATTAGGTTGTACCAAACATCATCACTTACTGTAGAATACTACTTTACATGGGAATTAGCTTTAATTAGAGTTTATAATTGGTATTAGTACTAATCAATAACTACTAATTAAGCCCATCATTAACTGATACAATTACGTAACAAACAATATTGTTCATTAATTGATGTGTTTACAAAAAATTCCCGTCCTGGCTGTAAAGTGGAAAAAACAGCAGGAAACAGTGGTACCATACTCACACTAAACCTTACCATAAAGCCAGCCCAATACGGTGAAGAACCGCGTATTTTGGCAGACGAAGTGGACGCAAACGCCGTGAATGACATGCCTATAATCACAGCACCAAGTGCTACTTGTGAAGAACTTAGCATCACGATCCCTCGTCGAATTTTTCGTTCTCTCGGCGCCGTTTCGCTCTCCATAGGATATTCAGTAAAAATAGCTAAAATATATGCTTTATACTTCTCTTTTCGATGCTTTTTTCCGCGGAGAGACTTCAGTTAAATATCATTTCTAGTATAAAAAAACCCTCTGCACTTTGATGTAAATTGTCTTCAATATTGTCTTTGACCCCCGATTCGCCCGTTTGCCGCCAGACGCAAAAAATCTCGAGATGAATTTAAGATACGTGACTGGGTTGGGTCGGTTGGGTTAACTGTCTTAACTGGTTGGGTTCAAATCACGTACAGTGGTCCAAATGCAACCCACTCTTTTATTATTTATTTGTTTAAAAGACGAAACAGCGGCCGTTTGTAGCATTCATATGTGTTTATATGAAGCCATTTTCTAGTAGTTTATTATTATATTATAATTACACTCCTTCGGCAGTCTCTGTTCGGCAGTCGTCATTGACATGACGTTATAGCTTTTAATAACTTTTTCATATCAACGTTGGTTATGACGTCATCAGTTGAATATATATGTGACTGAGAGTGAGGTTTTCGTCAACACGAACGTCAGTTTACCAAGAGTGGATTAAAAACTATCGCTATGTTTATATTGTATCGGATCACTTTGCGTCCGACGCAAAAACCATACCGGATAGGGCTTCTGTTTACATATGAAATGTTGTTATCGTCTCAATTTCTGCAACGGACCGGTGGTGCGGCGGTTCGCTCTTCGAAGTGGTGCGCGGTGTATCGGATCGGTTTTTGCAACGCTCTCATTGCAATGTAAACACCAATCGGAGCAATTTTCGGTTCAATACGTGACTCAAGATGGCATCAGGGAAACAAAGACTTGCTATTCTAATCTTATTTGCGGGTATAGCTTGCTCACTTATAATATTTTTGTATTTAGTTGGGCGAGGGCGGAAGCTGTTTACACTTGGGCCGTAACGTTTCGTGAACGAAGCAAAAACCGATCCGATACAATGTAAACATAGCCATGTTTGTAGCAGTTTGTGGTAGTCTTCAACGCATGTGACAAAATATAAGATTTTTAAAGTTTTTTGCTTCCTCACACGAGTGACGACCGTGTTGACAAAAATTAATAAGCGCACCAATATTTCAAAATTCTGTCTGCACGGCTGGATATTCCTTCGTATCCGGAATTCAAAAACTACGTGACCACACCGTAACTGATGAGCACCGCACGCACGTATGCGCGAAAACGATACGAATACTCTAGAATCACTTGCAAATCATGCACCATCGATTCGAATGTAAAACGCCCACGAGAACGACGCATTGCGTCGCGAGAAAAACCGGGCAAATTTTGGCTAATTCCTCGAAAATCATGTCGATTCAATGGAATTACGTCATCGTTTCCAAAACGTTCCGCTCGTATATTTCCGGAGGGTGACGGTTGCGTCAGTCCGAAGGTGACACACCGTTTTCTAACGTTGGCGTATGCGCAACAAAATCAGATTGCGATACAAACGAAATCCGGATATGATAATTTCACAATCAGAAATGTAATATATAAGGGATCGGTCATTAATAATGGGAGGGGGGGGGCGGTGGGCGAGAAAAGGTACCCTAAGAGCAGAGCCTGATTTCCTCTCAGGCTCTGCTCTCAGGTAGAGAAAGGGGGGCGACGTCAACTATTTTTCCCTGAATTGGTAGGCTATGAATTGGGGGCGGCCTCGAACTGAAAAATATGTGTCCAAGGGCGACCCCGATTTTTTAATACTTTCCTACTCAATCTCTCGCCTTTATCGTATCCCACAAAATATTTCACCTGTTCAGTTCCTATAATCGTAGTTTGCATAGTTGATTACGTATATTCAGTTCACAATAGGAGTCGGAGTAAATAACAACCATTTTGAACACTGGTCCTCTAATTATTTAGGCTACACACCAGTACTTGTCCCATTACCAATTTTACACCAAAAAATGTAACGAATTAAATGTTGGGGGGGGGGTCCTAAATATTCTAGATGAAGGTGGAGGCGTCTTGAAAACAAACTCTTGCGATTGGGGTGGCTCTAAAAAAATGTTCAATATTTGGTATTTATCACCCACCGCCCCCCTCCCATTATTAATGACCGGTCCCTAAGATCAGTCCAGTGTGACTTTTCATGAAGAGCAAAATCGTTAATTAGCGACGCCATGTCAATGTTGCGCAAAAACTAGTCGAAAGAGTAAGCGCGGGCGCCCCCAAAAACGCGGGGGCCGTGGCATATGCCACTTCTGTCATGTGCTTAATCCCACACAAGGATGTTCTGCTCCTCTGACCAAAGCCCGTGAGAAACAAACTTTTAAGTTTGAAAAAATCCATTCCATTTAAGGTGGTCCTAAGTTGAAAGCAGTGTTAGTCGCGACGTAATTACCGGAAAGGTCTATTGAAATCCCGTTACATGTAACACCAGCAACAGCATTGCTGTAAAAGTCTATCTGTATTTTTCATTATTTTTTTATTTGATTTGGTCTAGTCATTTTTATGAGATCAGTGGTTTCGTACCCAGTCTTCTATCATTTCATCGGCGATTTAACGCGCGCATGCGCCCTGGTTTATTTCTACCACACCTGATGGCTGAGGTTGGAAAAGAAGTGTAAATTTCATCCGGCTTTTGGATGGCAAAAACCTACGATTTCTTATTCAAATTGCTTCTGATCGGTGACTCTGGAGTTGGCAAAACTTGCGTGCTATTTAGATTTTCTGAAGATGCCTTCAACTCGACATTTATCTCGACAATCGGTAAAGATATTTATGTGCGACTGTCTCTGAGCTGTCTACGACGTAGCCACTCGATTTTGAAATATATACATGGCATTTCTTCATATTTGGTATCTCAAACTGTGTGTTTCGTAGATACATAACTAGCCACTCAAGTATTTGTTTCTTGATATTAAGGTATCGACTTCAAGATACGAACAATTGAACTAGATGGGAAAAAAATTAAACTGCAAATATGGTAAAGTGACGTTTGACATTCTATTCACAATGTCGTTTTTATAGTCATCTTTGATCCCCTAAACTAAGGCTTAATTGTCTATTATTTAGCAGGTTATAGTAGCTTACTGTCTCGGGGCTTTTTGGTACAAAAACCAAAGCCTCAAACGCAATATTTTGCAATATCATAAACGCTGTGATACTGTAATTTATATAAATTAAAATTTTCTGGTTTAAAAATAATAATGCGTCATATAGGTGTCGTGTCCCCCAGTAATGCCCCAGTTATTTTATAACTGTAATCTGCAATCCACTTTCACAGAAATCAGATAATTCTATGTCTAATTTCCACAGATCTATGATGCATAAAAGTTTATTAGCTAAAAGATTAAATTGCAATATATATTGGATTATATTCTAGTATTTTTCTGCATATTAATGAGATACTTTTATACAAACAGACAAAGAGATTTTTGTTAGCCATTTATAATTCCCGCACTTTCCTCTTGATGAGTAAGATGTTCTGGCATATGCAAGATGGTAAAACAACAAAGAAAGGCATGTTGTGGCTTAATCATTTAAGCTATATTGCAACCTGATGTGCCCTACTTTGGTATTTTACTCTGTGTAATGCTAGACAATTTTACCCGTCAAGGGGATAGTGCTGACGATTAATGGGTTGATAAGAGACAAAGGCATATGGCGTTGTTATCGTTACAACTAACATTTCTATGGTGCAAATTTACAGATCAAATATTACGCTTACCTAACTACATACTTACCCAGGGTATTTTATCTTTACAACAATTGTGCTATCACTTTCTTAACTGTGTTTAGCCTAAGCCACCCTGTCAATTTTTCCTGTGGCGCTTGCTCTGATAACTGTACCACTGACGTCCTGGCATACACCACCGAAGCCCCCGTTGTTAACCCAACCAAGGTGTTGTTGGCAAATAACCAATTAAATATGAACCTTTTTCAGGGATACCGCTGGACAAGAACGCTTCAGAACCATCACCACCGCTTACTACAGAGGAGCCATGGTTAGCATGGAATAAATAATGATACTAAATGATTTGTTTGAATAAAAAATTGTTGTAAAATGAAGGAATAAAAAACTCACATTTTGTTATTTTCATGAATTCAAGGGTATAATGTTGGTGTATGACATCACAAATGAAAAATCTTTTGATAATATTAAGAACTGGATTAGGAATATTGAGGAGGTGAGGTCAAAATGAAGAATGGATGAAAATTTTACCATATGTAAATAATCACTGAATACATGTGCATTACTCGAGTATGCTAACCTACACTACATTCATAGTACCATACCGGTACCCAAATATTTGCTTGTATATTCCACAAGTCTGATGCCAGCAAGAACAAGTTTGATTCCATACTTTCCCAAACTAAACACATACTGCTTCTTGTGTGTTTACAGCATGCATCTTCAGATGTTGAAAAGATGGTCTTAGGAAACAAATGCGACATGGAAGACAGACGTCAAGTTTCAAAAACCAAAGGAGAACAGGTAAGCTTACATATTCTGTTCAATTATGTTTTGGATTAACGAACATTATTGTCTTTATTGTTACAGCTTGCAGCAGAAATTATGTTTTGAAGTAATGATTATTGTTAAATATTTGTTGCCTTTCTTGTTACAGCTTGCAGTTGAATATGCTATCAAATTTATGGAAACAAGTGCAAAAGCTAGTATCAATGTAGAGGAAGCTTTCTTTGCTTTAGCACGCGATATCAAGGCGAAAATGGATAAAAAATTGGTACGGTTGAAATTACTGTACAGGTTGTGTTATGTCATCACAAGCTTAAGATTTACACAGTATTTGTCATTCATGTAAATTATAAACCTATTATTTAAAAACATTTTTCAAATGAATGAGTAGCAGTTTCTTGTTGCATGCAAGATAAGCGCTTCCAGTTTGACTCGAACAAATAAAAATGGCTCTTACTGGAGAACAATTTAGAACTGATAAGGCCCGTTTACACAGCCAATTTTTGTTGTGATTTTCTCCTTTTGGAGGAAATCACACTTAAAATTGCAGCAAAAATCGCCCATGCAAACGGGCCTATAGCTTTCCAGTATAGATATGGCTCAGCATTCTTGGCTTGATAATAATGGACCATTATTCCCCAATTAACCAAAATTTTGATCTCAACAAGTTTAGACAAAATTCCATCATAGCATGAAAGAGCATTCACAAAATTGGTAATATTCCAAAGTTTTGTTGCAAAATGTTGTAAAATGCGGATAATATAGCCTTGCGAAGTTTGTAATTTTCAGTCATTGTAGATTACGCACAGAAGTGGTAACCATTTCCCGTTTGTAATCTAAAATGACTGAAAATTGCAAACTTTGCAAGGCAATATTATCCGCATTTTGCAACGAAACTTTGCAATATTACTAATTTTGTGATGCTCTTGAAAGCTGTGATGAAATTTTTGTCTAGACTTGTTGAGTTCAAAATGTTGGGGATTGGTCTATTGAGATTCCCAAAATAATCATGATATTTCCCCCATAATGCTAATATGTGCATTTGTGTGTGTTTACAAAACTCTAGGAGGATCAAAACAGGACATCGGGCAGCGTGAAGATAACAAATCAACCAAATAAAAAGTCAAATAGTGGATGGAGATGTACATTACTATAGTATGACCAGATAACTAGATAGATGTTTAATTTCAGAGATATTGTCTGGGGGAGAATTTACAACATTGGAAAATATCCTGTTTTATCTTCTTGCATACTTTGAAACAATTTGGTGAAAGGCTTCGTTTGTAGATGGTGGTGATAAATGATATCAAACTAATAACTACTATTAGGTGCATTTAGGATGAGGTGGTTCATTGATCAACAGGGAAAAATGGGGGGACTGTTTGAAACTTGGTAATATTGAAAACAAATGGCACCTTGTCAAAATCACGGTGCTAGTTCAACGTTTTCCGATGAAACTTCCAACTTTCGAACGTTAAAAATATGAGAGAATAGCACATCTAACTGTGGCTTACCGCTTGATTAAGGCAGTAATATACCATTAATACAATTGTTTTTAAACTAAAGTCTTGAACGTGTAACGTGAAGTTTAATTTAAAACTGTAGTATATTTTGACATAAGTTATAAAAAAACATGTTCATACTTTTTCAGTCGTTTTCGGTTTTTCCCCCAGAACTGCCTCACAGGGAGCATTCTTCATCCTCACATGCAAATAATGGTAGAATATTAGTCATCTCTGATACTAGACTTCTGTTTAGAGAATCTGTTCTTTATAGTAGAATGCTTGAGTTGTAATAACGTACTAATGAGTACCTGTTTGGCACCGCCAAAGAACTGTCACGTTGGCCAATCAGAGGAATAGAAACATTTGATGCAGGGCAAGCCTAAAAAGTGAAAATTTCATACTGTGATTAAAGCATGCAATCAACTTAGACAGTATTTAAATGAACTGGGTCAAATTGTAATTATTTAACTAGTCACCTATATAGTGTCGCTAGTCGCTGAAATCAACCCAGTCCGGAAGGCCCATTGCCACTCGGGAAAATTTTCCGCAGAAAGAAAATTTTGTGAAACGCGATTGGCCGACACAACTTTTCCGTCGGAAAAAAATTTCGGAAAATTTTCTTGGGTGGAAATGGACCTTTAGGCAAGGTTAAGAAATACACCCACTGGAAAACATAGGCCACTAAACATGAAAACGAGACTGTGTGTAGGTGCTGTCGATATAAGAAAGTTTGGATTGATAGGGATACAACTACCTGAAAAATACAAGGAGAAATTCGACGTTTCGAGCGAAGGCGCTTCGTTTGGCTACTATAAACTTTCTAGGCTTTCGTTCGACACGTCGAAGATTTGCTTGTATTTTTCAGGTCGGATCTTTCTCAATCCATAGCCAGGGTTTTCAGTTTTGTGTGAGGCTTTGGCTAATGGCGATGAAGCTATGGCGAAAGGGAAAAGCCTAGACTATGTAGACTGCACCTGAGTTAAGTTTCACAATCAATTCGTGCACATGGATTATATATTAATGTAAAAGCTCTGGCGAATTTGGGTGGGGCTGAATGAAAAAGTCTGGCGAAATTCGCCGGCCTAAACTGAAAACCCTGCATAGCTCTCTTGTTAACGTCGCACCTATACTCGCTGGCACAGACTGTGCGAGATTACACGAGTGAAATCCTATAAGCTACAGTCAAAAGCAATTCCAAATTTCTGAACTATACCATAGAGATCCGTTTTCGTGTTTGGTGACATATGTAGTCCAAAACTGATTTAGAACTAACTACACAGACAATTAGATGTCTAACGTAATACGATTTTGAGATTGAAATAACAGCTAGTTTTTCCCAATCCAATAATGACAGATAGAGTTAACTAAATTCATTTTTTGTTCTTGCTGTGTTCAGTAAAATCTTTAAGTCTAATTCATCACAATATTTGATCTGGTGTCAATGACATAATTATCTCATTACGAATTATTTCAGTGATACTGGTTTCTCTTAACTATATACTAATTGTAATCATATATGTTTTGTGAAATTATTGGTAATAGCATACAGTCATTAATATTATTTACTAAAGGTTTTCGTAACTTTGTCGCATTTTAATATATATGTCAACTTCCAATTTCAAAAGTAATGACTGGTTTAACACTATCAAAGTTTCTGTGATCACAGTAGGAATTTTGCATCGGTAAATTCTAAATTTTGAAGGATTTGTAAGAAATATTCGAGGGAAGGGACTCATTAAATTCTGACTCAGTTGTTCTTACTGTGATCACAGAAACGTTGATAATGTAAACAGGCTGAAATGTATAATAGCCAAGGAGTTTTGGCGAAGTGACAAAAAAAGAAGACGTGATATATGGAACCGACGATCGAGTGGAAACTTAACGAATGGCACGCAATATGCATGACAGGTGAAATAATTACTGTATCGAAAGAACACAGAATATGAGAATATACTGTATGGCTCGTACATTTGAAGAACGTAATATGTTCAAGAATGTCCATACTATAATATATATGTATATTATTAACAAAGTTTGAAATTTATAATACTGTCCAAGCAGTTTAGTTAATATATAATAAATTTTGAAATTTAATACTGTTCAGACAGTTTATTTGTATATAAAAGTCCACCTAGTCCAGCTTTTTTCGGTTTTCCTGTAGTCGCTATATTGAATCATCTGTTAATATATAGGAAGCAATATAAATTGAATTGGATATCATTTTCTGCGAATGCTGGTCACGCATTTCTATGAAATTTTCTAGGAATCTATAATGCGACTGTTGTACTAGGAAGTGACACAAACACTGAACAAGCGATATGGGCTTCACGGCATTGGTGCGACGCTGAATAAAATTTCTTTATTTTGAATATAAAGTATACCAGGAAATTCGCCATGTCTTTAACACTAAAAGTTGTGTTAATTGGCGACAGTAAAGTTGGCAAGACGGCAGTAATGAATAGATTTTTGGGAGAGTTTTTCGATCCGGCGTTTATAATGACCACGGCTGGAGGTTGGTATAATTTGTTACTTCGAAATCACGCGACCATTTTATTATTTAGGATTTTAAGCTACTGTTTTACCACTCATAGATATTGTTATTAATTTCAACATTACAAATCCTTTGGGGTTTAATTTACAAAGGAAAATAAATCGCTTAAATAATGTAGTCACAAGATACAAACACATACATACAGCTCGCGGTTGTGTGAAGAAGTTTTCGTGACCTTGGCATTTTTTAAATTAAAATTTGATAGTGTATAAACTAAAAATTTTATCCCCCTGTCAATGGCATGTTCTGACACAATATAGCAGGAAAAAGTCCTCATGTTATGTATTGGTTGTACTTGCATAATAGATGGTACTGTATCAGTGAATTACTGTATTGTTAGTCCGTGATTTAGGTTCATCCTTTCTTAAACATACACAATGTACATTGGTATTTACATGCATGATCAATTGTCCCCAGTCATGGCACAATATTAAAATGTACTGCATAAAAAATTAGGTTCATGTGTGGCTTCTCTGATATCTAAATTCAATTATAATCAACTTTATAGAAGCTCTCAAAAGAAAGAGATTAGTTGTCAACAAGCAGAATGTTGAACTAGAATTATGGTGGGTTACTCAAAATAGATTTGTATTACACATACTAATTATAAAACACAAAACAGTTATAGTATAATCAGGTTTACCCCCATGTGATCGATAGTTTTGCACAAGTTATGTTACTTTTCACCTCTTCCAAAACCCAACTGCCCATCAACCATGAAGGCAAGGACCCTTTGATCATCAAATATGCACATTCCCCAATATTAATAGGACCAGTCTCATAAAGCATTAATGTTTCAAATTTTGAAGGGATGCTCCAGGACATGAAGGCTATCGCACATACGCCGAAGTGTATATGAAGAATGCCAAGGTATGTTTGTCGAAGCTCTTACCAGGTGGTTTACGGTTATAGGGTCTGCCCAGGCAACTTACCGACCAACTCTTTGTTTAGTCTAACCGAGTCTGCCTTCTTGATAATGCACTGCCAACAGTTGGAACAACTCATTGACCAACTGACTGTGACAGATTGTCTCACTAGCTGACCAACAGTCACCAAATATCAGACTGTCTGGCTGACCAATAGTGACAGATTGTCTGATTGGCTGGCCTGAACCAATTGTATCAACAGGCTGGCTGACCAATTGTGAAAAATTAAACTGACTGACCAACTAATGGTTACATTGATTGCATGGCTGGTCGACCAATTGTGACAAACCAATTGGTTGGTCATCATCAACGGCGATGGGCTGGCTGGCTAACCAAGGGTCTGATTAGCTTGTTGACCAACAGTGACAGAATGACCAACTAACTTGGAACTGTACAAGCAGGCATGCAGTCGCCATGCTATGTCAGCAAGCAAAATAAAATCGGCTCTGCAGCTAGCCAGGGTGGCATACAGTAAACATGCAATATTATTGTTCCTTTAAGGCTGTTGTAGTGTTCTTCGATGTATCAAATTACAGTAGTTTTGAAAATATTGATCATTGGTTGCATTTTATACCTCATGCAGAAGTGAGTGATTAAGTTTTCCCATATTTTTATTCTAATATAAATTACATATGCCTGCATATTACATTTGTTTGCTATACTTATTTATTTGAAGTTCTCAGTTAGTTCAGCCATAGCCTATCGAAGAGAAGATGGCTGTGAAACTCATTAGAATAACAATATAACTCATCTGTGTTGGTCAACGTTTATTCATAAAATTTTAATTTGGTCCTTCACCTTCACATGTGTTTTGTATTCTTGCCCAACTAACCAATAGGAATGTTTTAGGAAAGTCACCTATCCATGACTCGAACAATAGGGAAACTGGAAATTGCTATTGGTGGATTTGGTAAAAATACAATACACACATGACGGTGAAGGACCAGATTTATGAATAAACGTTGACTAACATAGATAACAAGTTATATTGTTATTCTAATGAGTTTCACAGCCATCTTCCCTTTGATAGGCTATGGTTCAGCTCAGGATTAATCAGGGCATTTTTTAACATACAAGCTGGGGGGGGAAAATGCCCCCCCAGTCCCCCCACAAAATAACATTTTGCCCCCCCCCCAGGAAAAGTCCCTTTTCCCTAAAATTATAGAAACAAACCAGCGAAGATTAACAAATACATAAACGGAAAGTAAGTTTTAGGCTTTATCCTTTGTCCTTGTTTAACAAAATCGATTTAAATTGTTACTTTTTTCTACCACTAAGTAATGATAAATTATTGTTAATAATTTTTTATTTTTTGGATGCTCAGAATGCAGAAAATGGCATTTCTGTGCTTCAAATGTCAAAAATTTTCTGGGGAGTACATCCCCACACACCTGACCATTGCCATCCTCCTCTAATAAGTAACGATAAATGATGGTTAATTTTTTTTTACTTTTTGTTCGTCTTTTCCTTTATTTATTTCAAATACAAGTATAGTTAGCATAAATTTTGGAGCAAATTTGGATGCTCAGAATGCAGGAAATGACATTTCCGGGATTCAAATTTCAATAATTTTCTGGGGGAGTACTCCCCCAGACCACCCCCCATTCATGCGTGGTATATTGGCCACACACGTAGCCTTCAGCCATTGCTATCCCCCTCTAATATATTCTCACAGAAAAGTCCCTTTTCAAAAAATGCCCCCCCCCCATGGGAAAATCCTTAAAAAAGGCCCTGGGATTAATAATCCTATAACTAATAAGTCTACAGTATGTTCAAATTCTTTCATTTAGGGCACCGCACAACTGACCCCAACGTTTATAATTGGCAACAAAACAGACACAACAGAACGAACTGTTAAAACAGAAGAAGCAGAGCATGTAAGGTTCACCTCTTCATTCATTTACATGTAAGACCATTCGTTTTTACTGACAATGGTTCAACATCCAAACATTTAACAGATTGTTGCAGCATTTGTGGCTATAATAATAAAATACGATACTTCTCCTGTATTTCAGAAGGCTAAAAAACAAGAATCACTTTATTTTGAAACGAGTGCGAAAAACAACAATACGGATTATTTTGACCAGGTATGCATATATCTTTTTTTATGCATATATCTTTTTGTTTTAAAGTTTGTACTAGACGATCCACTCAGTAACCGTCATTAGTCAGCCTTCAATGCTGTTTCTGTTACTAACTATTCAGTATTTCTTCATCTTTTTCAGATTTTTAAAAAAATTATAGAAGATGTTTTAAATAAATCGCATGGTTCAATGAATTCTGGATCGTCGGTAAGGGTTTAATAAACTGTAACCGTGTGGTCACTTGACCATTGCAGAATCACTACTCTTTTCAAGCTGGTTTTAGTGTTCTTTATATTTCATATTCAAATAGAGCCTATTAAACTCAACCTTTCACGTAGGCCATATGGTCTTTAACTACATCTATAAACTTTGCACATGCATGGTTGTGCACCTTCAATCTTGACGGTATCAATTAATCAAGCATTTTTATGCAGAGGTACAACTTTTTTATCATATTTTATAGCCAAGACCACGAAGGATTCCATGGTACAGAAATTGTGTTCTATTGTAATTTATTTTCTTATGGCAACGACATAATACATTGGCAAATGTGAAGAATCAAATGAATAACTATGGTCAGAGCTTTCACCTGTCCCGGCAACTGCGCAAATTTCGTTTAGCAGACAGAAAGCACGTCAGATAGAAGTATCGCTGCTGGCAGCATTTGGGTTTTAAAGATTATTTTTGCGATATTGAAATTGGTCTGTGAAGAGTATTTTGTAGGTTTTTGTATGAATTGAATTGTATAGGGCCGTATTAAAATATACTGCTTAACGTACAGGAGAAATTAATTTGAATGGACTCACAAGCCAGTCATGATATTCATGGCGATAAATATAGGTTTTATATGAAACATGCATCACAATGGTATTTAGGCAAGCTTTGAATCCGTAAACCCGCATTTTCGTCGGTTAAAATGACCAAATTTTACGAACTCAGAAATCGGATTTGGACATCACAAAATGAACATTCATTAAATGCGGACGAGCTATTATATTTATTATTTAATGTGCTGAGCACGTAGACATTACAACAAAAAACTACAGTTGTATACTATACAGACTTTCATCGACTTGCAGAAGACTTCTTTGCTATGCTGGTGTGGGTGCGGCTTTATCCCCGTTCCAAGCGGCCCAATGAATTTGCCAAAGTCCGTCCACTTTCTTCCAAACTGTCAGTGACCTGGAACAACGAACAGTTAATAGTCAGACAAATTTGGCTAACGTTGTTTTAATACACTGATAACAGTTCTTCATTGAACTGAAGTGATTCATCCTGTATACATATTCCATTAATAATAGTTAGTATAATTACATAGGTACGTGATTATTGACAATTCTCTACGCTGATTGGTTGCAGTCGAGGTAATTATAACGCGATAATCACCTAAGCGATTTTCAAAATGGCGGCCGAAGCCGTTTCGTCATTTAAATAACGAAGAAATGTGTATTTTTTTCCCAAATAATCACCTATGAAATTATACTAAAACAATTATTCACCTCAGGCTGGTGATTATCGTGAATAAAAACCTCGACTTCGTCTCGGTTTTTATTCACCGATAATCACCTCGCCTTCGGCGAATAATTGTTAACCCACATGCGCCTAGTTACTATTGTTCTAGTTTACAGATGCATAAAATAAAGCAAAGGTAACTAATCATTAGAATTATGGATAAGAGTTATTCACTTGGGTAGATAATTCTAAAGCTTAGTTACCTTTGTTTTATTCTATGCTTCTGTATATTCTACAGGGTGTCCCAAAAAACCCCGAAGAACCGTTGAAATAACGCATTGTTAAAATTTGAATGCCCTAGCACTAAGCTGAACGTAAAGATGCGTATAATATTGACAAGGGTGCATATATTAAATATCGACTTGTTAAGAACTTAAAATATCTTTGTAAAGCGCACGATTTTCTGCTCTTGGGAATTTAAAAACAGCTTCTTAAACGGTTTCTTTATGCATAAAATTTACTTATGTCAAGCTTTGATGCACTTGCCTGTTGTGGATTCAGCAGAGTGCAGAGGCATTCAAATTCTAATAATACGTTATTTATATACGTTATATTTTTATTATACGTTAGTTTTCGGGTTTTTTTGGGACACCCTGTACAGGTTGTCCCAAAAAAAAGTGATACCATAGAAATTATCCTATTGTTATATGATTTGAATGCCACTATATGGTGAACACAAGAGTGCGTAAACACAATTGAATTGAATTTGTAATTACCCGGCGCATTTAACAACAATAGGATAATTTCTATAATGTCACTTTTTTGGGGACACCCTGTAGAACAATGATATTACTTAATTACTTAAAAAAATAGCGAGTTACCTAAACTAAAATTGTAAATTGGGTATAAACGAACGTTGTCTATTCTACATTGGACATTTTAAGATTGTGACCTTGATTATGACTTTAAGCTCACTCTACTATATAGAGTATAGACTTGAGACGAGATTTTGAGTTCCATTTATCAGGGCTGAGACTTAATAAAACGGATTGATCATAGCAACGAATGAAAATAACGACCACCAAAAATAATAAAATATTAACGGCAAAGCACTTCTTCTAGGAAGAACAACCGACTAGATTAGTTGGTCTTACTTGTTTGTAACCACAGTTTTTCCATCAGCGTCATAAGACGTGTCTGTGTTGATTGATGTGGCCAGATCTGCATCCATGGATAAAACTTCGAGAACATTGTTCTCAATCTTGCCTACCTTCTCAAAACACTTCACCAACTCACCGAAGAACGCCTTCAATGCTAAAATTGAAAATCGTTAGAGAACAAAGATTATCACTCCTGCATGTTCATGTATAGCATAAAGAGAAATAGTCAAAATCGGTTGGTTTCTGAGCTCTTGGCTCACTAATATCCAATATTGTTTAACGTTTATACAAAAAAAAAGATTGGTGATCAACTAGCAGTTATCAGAGACAGAAAATGTTAATTCGTTAATGCTTTGTTATATTTAACATTTGATTTTATTACATGTTGCGGTCTTGTATTTGGTGACAAATAAATAGAATCGTGATGTCCACCAACACGTCAAATGGAGTCGAACTCCCGAACAGATAAAATGCACCTAAATCCTAGTTTACACTATCAAAGTTTCTGCGAACACAGTAGGAATTTTGCATAGGTAAATTTCAAGTTTTGAAGGATTTTGTATGAAATGTTTGAGGAAACTGACTTGGTGTTTACTAGTAACACGAAGTCAGTTTCCTTCAAACATTGTCTAGTATAAATCCTTCAAAACTTAGAATTTACCTTCGCAAAATTCCTCCTGCATGTGACCACAGAAAAAACAGGTTTAAGGCCCCGTCCACACATGCACACTAGAGAGTTTGGCAAATTAAACGGCAACGTGGTCAACAACAATAGCATTGATCCTCAAAGGCGAATGTGAATTACATGGTCTTGCGCGTTGTGTGTTGCCGTAGTTGTTGAAACTGGTACGTGATTTGCATCTTCACGGTGCACGACTACGGCAACAGTTAATTCGTTCGATGTTATTTGAGGTGTTTTCTTTGAATTCGCGGACTGTTTTTACTTTAGAGTTAAGCATTAAGGGCTGTTTGAGAGAAATAAGAATACCTAAAGAGGCAAATTAAGTGTAGTAACGTATACTTTGGCTCAAATACAACAATATAAGCAATTATATTTTTTACGTTGCCGTTCTAGGTTGCCAAACTCCCTATTTCCTATCAATCTACAACTTTCCAATACTAGCACTGACCTACACTGGAAACAGACCATTCATCACAAGATTATACGAGACTTATTTACCTTCTCTTCCCTGCACGGCTGGTGCACCTGGAGCCAAAACTAGACAGTCTTCCGTGTAGAAATTAACGATTTCTTCTGGTTTCTTATTCATGAAACATTCTCCAAATTTCGTGACTCGAGATTGAAGTTCTGCTTTCACGTCTGCATTGAAAGAAGATAAATTATCATGAAGCATTAAATAATTTACCATTTCTTTATTTGCCATTAAATTTGCTTTAGCCTTATACAGCGATGCGGATTGCTGAAGCGTTCGCTTCGGTTGCGGGTAGCAGCAAAGTGAATTTAAAGAAATAGTTTAACATTTTAAACTTTGTAGTTTTGTATACGTTCAAGTGGGAAATGTTGTCATTTTGAAGGCATTGATCGTGAAAAATATACGACAAACACTTTATGAAACAGAAGATGGAAACGCCCAAAACTTCACAGATTCACTTTTCACAACACGGCTTCATGCACATATCATTTTATCCCACTACCCTAGCAAGGAAATTTCAGCGGCGAAACAGCCATGGCGCCGCTTGTTTTTTTGTAACAGGTAGCTAAAATTTGAATTACACCATACCATGTTACAACGAGAATTATATTTATTGCTGAACATAGCGAATTGCATGGTGTAAGCAGACGAAAGCTATATGGTCAGACTGTGAATCATGCATTACTATTTAGATTGGGCTAGGCCACGTCCGCGAAGTTACTTCTACAAATACGGCCTACCATCCTAGAGTATCCTAGCCCGCGCGTAAAACTGTTGAAATGACCACACAGATTGATACCAGAACATAATATGCCAACCAACAAACAGAGGAATAAATGTACCATTACATTCACAACATACCTGCCATTCTGAATCTGGTCTTCGCTTTGTTGAAATCGCTTTCTTGCAAAGGAATTCTAACCAGCTTCTGCCTTCGACCCAGTGCACAGTCGAATAAACTCGAGTTAACATCATCCAACTTATAAAGACACCTCAGACAAAACGTTGATATTTTGACCAATAGCTAGTCGTTTCAGCACAATGCATGGTATGCGCGAATGATCTGCTCCAACGAAGGAATGGAATTTGCATACGTGGCAAATATACCAAAACAATCAGCGACTGGATGGCATGGAGAACAACGGGATTTTCAAAACAATGAAAAGACATTTCAATCACGGAATCGTAACTGGATGCCGCAATTGTTATTCTAAAGCCAGTGTTCCATTTCAATCGTACCGAAGCGTATTTCTTTGTTTCCTCAGCGGTAGTGTGGAACTAGTGACTTCGACAAAAAAGAAAATGCTACGGTACGTCACGGTTGAAGTGGAAAACAGGCTTAAGTGTAATTCATGCAAATGCTTTTTCAGCATGCAAATCGTTAGTCGATCCGCTTGAGTGGCCCACGTTATTTTTCATCAAAATATAGTGCTATATTAAAACATTTCTGAAACGGCAAAGATAATGCTCGCTCGCTGGCTGGCTCGTATATACACGAATTTTTTTATCACTACTTTATCTTTCATTAAAAAACATCCATATTTCACGGAATAAAGGAATTAATTTATACGACAGATAGTTAAACGCGGTACCGTAACTGAACAGACTTCGTACAAAAATTATCTGCCTGAAACTATGCGGTGGACAGGAAATCTAACCATTGGATAGTAGCTTAAACGGAGCTTAATCTTTTGTAAGAAAATGGTCGTGAAGTATTGGCACGACTTGAATCTTTCTTGGCATAATCGTGCTTGAATTCCGAGCGAGATGGAACACGAAGAGCGTGAAGAATCAGATGAAGACGTGGAAGGTAGTGATCACGAGGAATCTGGTAGCGGGTCCGAAGAAGAAGAAGAGCAGGAGGAGGAACGCGAGAGTCTTGAAAGTCAGATAGCCCAGTACGAAATGAAGTTAAAGAAAGCTTTTAAAGCAAAGAATATGGCCGACGAAGCAAATGTTTCGAACGAACTAGGTATTAACTTGATGCATAGGGCTGTATTCAAATATACTGCTTAAAGCACAGAAGAAATTAAATTAATTTGAATGGACTCAAAAGTCAGTCATGATATTCATGGTGATAAATATAGGTTTTATAAAACGACAATGACATTCAGGCAAGCTTTGAATCTGTAAACCCGCATATTTTCATCGGTTAAAATGAACAAATTATATGAACGCAGATTTGAACATCACAAAATGAACATTCATTAAATGCGGACGAGCTATTATATTTATTATTTAATATGCTGAGCACGTAGGCATTACAACAAAAAACTACAGTTATACACTATACTATACAGACTTTCATCGACTTGCAGAAGACTTCTTTGCTATGCTGGAGTGGGTGCGGCTTTATCCCCGTTCCAAGCGGTCCAATGAATTTGCCAAAGTCCGTCCACTTTCTTCCAAACTGTCAGAGACCTGGAACAATTCAGTTAATAGTGGGATAACATTGTTTACATCGTTGCTGCCCAATAAACAACTTCATATAACTCACATGCCTAGTTACTATTGTTCTAGTTTAAAGACACAGAATAGATTAATTGAACAAAGATAACTAAGCAGTATAGTTTTAGTTTTGTATAAGATCAAAGTTATTCACTCATCTAGATAATTCTAAAGTTAGTTCCTTTGTTCCATTCTATGCTTCTGTATAATCATAGCCTATTGAGAAGGGAAGATTGCTGTGAAACTTATTAGAACAACAACACAACTCATTATCTATGTTAGTCAACGTTTATTCATAAATCTGGTCCTTCACCGTCACGTGTGTATTGTATTTTAACTATTTTTGCCCAATTAACCAATAGCAATGTTTTAGCAAAGTTACCTATCCACGACTCGAACAATAGGGAAATTGGTCGAAATATTGCTATTGGCGGATTTGACAAAATACAATACGCACGTGACGGTGAAGGACCATATTTATGAATAAACGTTGACTAACATAGATAACGAGTTTTATTGTTATTCTAAGGAGTTTCACAGCAATCTTCTCTTCGATAGGCTGTGGCGTATGGTATACTCTAGATGTTCAATGATATTACTTAATAGGCATTACATGCGACGGTTACTCTCTCCTCCGCAGAGGCTTTAGTTTTCTTAGGATTTAATATTACGATGAGATACATTTCACTACACTTTACATGGCGGATCTTGGAACACGAGCGTAGCCGCTGGGCGAAGGAGCGCAGACGGCAAAGGGAAACTAAAGCCTTTGCGGAGGAGAGAGCGACGGTTACCTGAAAGTTGTATAAAATTGGGTATAAACAAATTTTTGTATTCTGTATTGGATATTTTAAGTTTGTGACCTTGATTAGTCATTAGGGCTTTAAGCTCACTCTATTATATAGAGTAGACTTGAGACGAGATTTCGAGACTTTCATTTATCAGGGCTGAGGCTTAATAAAACGGCTTTATCATAGCAAGGAATGAAAATATTAAATTTTAATGGCAAAGCACTTATTACGAAGAACAACTAGATTGCGGTTGGGTCTTACTTGTTTGTAACCACAATTTTTCCATCAGCGTCATAAGTAGTGTCTGTATTCATCGATGTGGCCAGATCGCCATCCATGGATATGATTTCGAGAACATTGTTCTCAACCTTGTCCACTTTCTCAACAAATTTCATCATGGCACCGAAGAACGCCTTTAATGCTAAAATTGAAAATCGTTAGAAAACATAGATTCGCTGCTGTTGCATAATCGGCTGGTTTCTGAGCTCTAAGATCTTGGGGCAAGTATTCAATATTGTTTATACAAAAATTGTGATCAAAGTCAATATTGTTATCAGAGTCAGAAAATGTTAATTCTTTAATTCTTTGTTATATTTAACATTTGATTTTATCAGAAGTTGTAGGTCTTCAGAAGTTGTGGGTCTTGAATTTGGTGACAGATACAATCGTGATGTCCACCAACACGTCAAATGGAGTCGAACTCCCGAACAGATAAAATACACTTAAATCCTAGTTTACACTATCAAAGTTTCTGTGATCACAGTAGGAATTTTGCATAGGTAAATTCTAAGTTTTGAAGGATTTGTACGAGATGTTTGAGGGAACCGATTCATTGATTAACGCGAAGTCAGTTTCCTCAAATATGTCTTATAAATCCTTCAAAACGTATAGAATTTACCTTTGCAAAATTCCTTCTGCATGTGATCACAGAAAAGAACAGGCATAAGGCCCCGTCCACACATTTCCTATCAATCTACAACGAACAGTTCATTACAAAATTATAGACTTGTTTACCTTCTTTTCCTTGCACGGCTGGTGCACCTGGAGGCAAAACTCGACAGTCGTCCGTGTAGAAATTAATGATCTCTTCTGGTTTCTTATCCACGAAACATTCTCCCAGTTTCGCGACTCGAGATTGAAGTTCTGCTTTTACATCTGCATCAAAAGAAGATAAATTATTTAATGCTTCATCATAATTTACTATTTCTTTGTCAATAAATTAGCTTTAGCAGATGCTGAAGCGTTCACTTCGGTTGCGGGTAGCAGCAAAGTTAGCATTTTAAACTTTATAGTTTTGTATACGTTCAAGCGTAAAATGATGTCATTTTCAAGGCATTAATCGTGAAAAATATATCACAAACAGTTCATGAACCAAAAGATAGAAACGCCCAAACCCTCACAGATTCACTTTACACAACACGGCTTCATGCACAAACCGTTTTAATCCCATTACCCCAGCAAGGAAATTTCAGCGGCGAAACAGCCATGGCGCCGCTTGTTTTTGAACGCCTTGTCTCACCTGGCTTTACATTATTACATATAGGAACGTATAAAAAGCGACTGAGCGAGTTTGTACTTGTGTAATCAAGGACGAAAACAACAGCGTGTAACTGCATGGTAGCTAAAATTTAAATTGCACAATCGCGGAATTAACTTAAAAACACAACGACGTGATTGCATACGAAGTTACCACGAGAAAGATATATTGCTGAACGTCGTGAATTGTATGGTGTAAGCGGACGAAAGCTATATGGTCTGACTGTAAATTGTGCATTACTCATTTAGGTTGGGCTAGACCACGTTCGCGAAGTTTATACTTCCTCTACAAATACAGTCTATCCTCCTAGCCGTAAAGTTGTCTGGTTAAAGCTGTTGAAATGACCACACAGATTGATACCAGAACATGTAATATACCAACAAATAAACAGAGGAATAAATGTACCATATATTCACAACATACCTGCCATTCCGAATCTGGTCTTCGCTTTGTTGAAATCGCTTTCTTGCAGAGGAATTCTAACCAGTTTCTTCCTTCAGCCCAGTGCACAGTCGAATAAACTCGAGTTAACATCAGCCAACTTATAAAGACACCTCAGACAAAACGTTGATATTTTGACCAATAGCTAGTCGTTTCAGCACAATGCATGAATGATCTGCTCCAACGAGGGAATGGACTTTGCATACGTGGCAAATATACCAAATCAATCAGTGACTGGATGGCATGGAGAACAGCGGGATTTTCAAAACAATGAAAAGACAATGGAACATTTCAATCACTGAATCGTAACTGGATGGCGCAATTTCTATTCTAAAGCCAGTTTTCCACTTCAATCGTACAGTACCGAAGCGTATTTCTTTGTTTCCTCAGTGGTAGTGTGGAACTAGTGACTTCGACAAAAAAGAAAATGCTACGGTACGTCACGGTTGAAGTGGAAAACAGGCTTAAGTGTAACATCCATATTGCACGGGAATAAAGGAATGAATTTATACGACAGATAGTTAAACGCGGTACCGTAACTGAACCGGCTTCGTACAAAAATTATCTGCCTGAAACTATGCGGTGGACAGGAAATCTAACCATTAGATAGTAGCTTAAACAGAGTTTTATCTTTTGTAAGAAAATGGTTTTGAAGTATTCATTATTTAATTAATGAATCAACGACCTTATATCTACGAGGACTCGTGTACAATCTTCAATGCATTAGCAGGTCTTAATATATGCTGGAATGCTAAATTATGTCGGAAATATGTGGCCACAAGCAAAAACCACAAAAAATACATAAACCTGCATAATATAGCTCTACCTGTTTGGCATGACTTGAATCTTTCTTGGCATAATCGTACTTGAATTCAGAGCGAGATGGAACACGAAGAGCGTGAAGAATCAGATGAAGACGTGGAAGGTAGTGATTACGAGGAATCTGGTAGCGGGTCCGAAGAAGAAGAAAAGCAGGAGGAGGAACGCGAGAGTCTTGAAAGTCAGATAGCCCAGTACGAAATGACGATAAAGAAAGCTTTTAAAGCGAAGAATATGGCCGACGAAGCAAATGCTTCGAACGAACTAGGTATTAACTTGATTTATACTTGAGACGAATGATCTGTCTGAGCGACAGAATCTCACAACTTGTCAACAAGATGTGTTCGCAACAGGCTCGTAGCAAGCTTGTCAAGTTGTAACAATGCTGTTATTCAAGTTGCTACAAGCTTGTCACTCACAACGTGTGGATAAAGTGTTGAATTGCAGGACGATAACAAGTCTGTTGAGCTGAACAACCTTCTAGCAAGTTGCCAACAAGCCGTAGACAACTTGTCAACAAACTGGGAACAAGCAGTGCGAACACATCCTGTTGACAAGTTGTTGGAACAGCATTGCTGTTGACAAGTTGTTGGAACAGCACTGCTACAAGTCTGATGCAGGCTTTACGTGTGTAAGCGAGTTGTGTGCTAGATTTACACAGTACAACTCACAAGTTGTAAGCAGGTTGCATGCGACAGTTTTAGGCAAAAGTTGTGTAGTGTAAATCGGTCCCTAAAGGAATACACAGGATCATTAAATACTTGTTGTATCGCATAGGTATGGTTTACTACAAGGTGGGCAGATATAAAGAAGCCGTCAATTGTCAAGAACGCCAACTCACTTTGGCAACCTCGCTCAAAGACCCACGAATGGAGAGACGCGCGCTGTGCAACTTGGGATGTGCTGCAAAATGGGCCAAAGATTATGACCGCGCGCTGGAGTGTTTACAAAAAGGACTAGAAATGGCAAAGGACGAAAGCGATAAAAAAGCAGAGGGCAAATTTCTCAACAATATTGCAAGTGCCTATGAAAGCATGGCTGACTTCGAGAATGCGATGAAGTATTATGAAATGAGATTACAACTCGCGAGATCGACGAGGGATAAAGCAGCCGAGACAAAATGTTGTGCTAGTATTGGGAATGTGTTGCACGTCTCTGGCGACATCAGAGAAAGTATCAAGTATTTTGAACGAGTCGTCGTCTGCATCAAGTTGAAAAAAGGTGTGTATATAGCTCAGTGGTCCCGCAGTCCTACGTTTTGACCCTATTCCATCGAACGCGATGCCCAAAATTTAGAATGTTTTCCCAGTAGAACTGGTACTTCATATTTTATCAATGACCAATTGAGTTGTGGGTACATTTTGCCTTTTCCCCGTCTCTTAATAAAATATCATGCATAGAGGACGAAATAACATCTTAATAAATCCAAGATTGGATTAAGACAAGACTATAGTTCGGTTTTTTAAAATATTTCTGCAGCAACCGTAACAAAGTCAGCCGCTTAAATTACCTTGTAGCCAAAACTGAGGTTAATAATTCTGTAATAATCCTAAAGGAGGTAGCTACACAAAATTGTTGTGGCAACAAAACCCCCAGGACATTATTTTTTTACTATTCAACAGCTGCTGAAATTAAAGAAGCGGAAAAATCTCAAGATGGTGGATCTGAGAAGGGTTTGGAAGGTAGATCGTCAAGCAGAGGCAGCCAGTTCAGTTCCTGATGACGACCTTCATGATTAATCTAAATTCATGCATGTGTTTTTCTATTGGCTGCAACGCACATGCTTTGTGCATCTTTAATTTTGCAGCATACGGCTTGTTGACAACTTGCTACAAGGTTGTTGAGCTTAACAGACTTGTTACAAGTTGTTGAGTGACAATCTTGTAGAAACTTGATAAAATAACAGCATTGTTACAACTTGTTGACAAGCTTGCTACAAACCTGTTGCGAACACATCTTGTTGACAAGTTGTGAGATTCTTACGTGGGTAAAGCGTAAATTAGTGGCATATTAAAGCATTATTGGCCAGTAAACTTTTGATATTTCAATGGCATGAGTAAGTTACTGTTATTTTCCTGGCTCAAGAAACAAATATGCAATCCCAAAATATGTCTCTGTTTTTTAATTCCAATTAGTAACACAAAAATGTATGTTATAATTGGTATATGAAATGTCAATAAAACATTCAAATGAATTGAATTTTAGTTTTGGAAATGGGAAATGTTATTTGTACTTCTTTAAAATATTTATGTATTTATATATAGTTTATATATTTGTTTTCAGACTATCCCTTTAAAGGATCAATCGTTGTCAATATAAGCCGACAGCGCGCTAAAAAATAAATGCCATTGTAAAATGTTATTGAATGAATGGCAAAAACAAATATACTTCTAGTTCTAGACTTAGTCAAGGCTTTTCGCACTAAAAACACGTCTCTGCTGGGTTAAGAAGAGAGTATAAAGTAAAACAAAAACTCAAAGAAAACGAGGTCAACGAATATTTGGAGTGTCTCAGCTCTTAAGCACGTCTGCAGTTGGGGAAACCAGTGTACCCTCCGATACATTTGTCGCATTTTCGTCCGACGACATTTTGCCTGCAGGGACATTGGCCGCCAAATTTGTCACACACGGCGGATGTCGAACCATTCCGATCGCAATCACACGTCGTTAATGCGCCATTGAACATGGTTGTCATGGTAAAGACGGATTCTTTACAAAACTGCGAGGAACTATCGACGATAAAATCATTTTTGCCACATTGCTTGATAAATTTCTGAGCTAAACTGACAGGCTGCTGTTTCTCCATGTCGGCGTTAAAATGACGGCTTGGCACAAATAAGATATAGTCCTAGAGAAAAATACGTAGTATTGAACTATTTCATATGGTATGGTATGGTATGGTATGGTATGGTATGGTATGGTGTGGTATGGTATGGTATTATATGATATGGTATGGTATGGTATGGCATGGGATAGCACATGTATGGTATAGTATGGTATGGTATGGTATAGTATGGTATAGTATGGTATGGTATGGTATGGTATGGCATGGCATGGTATGGTATGGTATGGTATGGTATGGCATGGCATGGTATGGTACGGTTACTATGGTATGGTATGGTATGGTATGGTATGGTTACTATGGTATGGTACGGTACGGTATGGTATGGTACATGTATGGTATGGTATGGTATGGTATGGTATGGTATGATATGGTTACTATGGTATGGTTAGTATGGTATGGTATGGTATGGGACATGTATGGTATGGTATGGTATGGTTACTATGGTATGGCATTGTAATACTTACAATCCAGACTTCATTATTAGGCGAGATAGAAATAGTGATATCCGCTTTGTTATAGATATAAAGAGAGCGACCCATTTGAGTTATTTTATCTCTAGCCAATGCCCGGCATCCACCAACATTGGGACAGTGCTTGAACCTCAAATACAGAGCTGTGGAGCGACGACTTTGAACAATAATACGACCATTATATTTGCCATGTGATGGCTGGTAATAATGGACTAAAATCTTGTAACGGCCTTGCACAGTCTGGCTTTTTACCCGCAATGAAACCTGGAATTTGATTGAAAAATTTTAGGTTTGGTTTGGTTTGGGTTAATGCAGTGGCGAAGCTATGCAATAGCAACAGGAATTGTGTTATGCAAATGTATTGTTGCCAGTTGGTATGGCTAGCTTCGCCAGTGGGATAATATATAGTAATGTATTATTAATTTACATACTCCGTCTCCAACAAGATAAGCAGCCCGTACAGATTCGTCCATTGCCAGACTCGGTTTCATGCCCTGGCCGCTCTTCTCTGCATCCACTCTAATGGCGTTGCTATGGATATCATACGTGGTCTGTAGACATTCTGTATTTGATTTCACGCAGTGTTCCTCTGGCACGATGTACTCAATGTTCCATTTTTCTTTCGGGATGATTGTAACGGATTCCTTAAAAACATTAATTTAGTTTAACTAAGAAAATTCATCTACTCACTTACTTAGAGAGTTGTACTAGTCGTGAGGGTGAAATATACCGGAATTCCAAAAGAACTTGGGATATGATAAACAGTGGAAAATATTGGTCAGATGATAAAATGGTAGTGGTGATGATGGTGTTGGGGATGATTGTGTTGGGGATGATTGTGTTCGGGTTGATGGTGTTAGTGATGATGGTGGTGGTGGTGATGGTGGTGATGGTGGTGTTGGTGATGATGATAATGGTGGTG